ATATATATATATATTTTGTTTTTGAAACAGAGTTTCACTGTTTCTATAGAGTCCAGGGGGACCCTGAACTTGCAGCAACCTTCTTGTCTCAGCCTCCGAGTGCTGGGATTACAGGGATGTGCCACCATGCCCAGCTAATTTGCTTATATGATTAATCCATTTTTTAAAACACAACATGGTCTCTAGGGAGGCAAAAATAGTTTCTGACAGCTGAAGCTATGCTAAATCATAGTAAATTAATATATAAAGACTGAAAATATATAAACATGTTCTAATGACTAGATACGGTAGGATAAAAATTTGTTTAACTTTGGAAAATAATGTCAAGATGAACTTTAAAAAATTAAAAAATTCTAAAAAGCATCTATTTGTATGTTTGAAAAAATTACAGTCTGAGGCCTAAGTTAAAATATTTTCCAATGTCAATGCCTTGAACTGTGAAGAGCTAGCATTATGATATTAGCTTAGGAATTGTTCTAAATGGTCATTTATACATTTCTCTTTCTCTTTATTTTCTGATACCTCCTCTCATCCTGACCTCATCCTTTTTCCTTAGGCCTCAACCCTAAGTAAAAGTTTCTAAAAATCTGTCAATCAGTTGCTACCTTTATATTTTTTGTTATATCTACATATCATTCTATTCTTATTTACCAAGTATTTTTTCTTTAATTTACCTGAAACTCACTGTTTTTTAAAATTAGGCCTTGTTCTAAGCAAGAGGCTCACTAAATATTTTATTATTTTAATTTAAAAATTAAATAAAAAATTTAACTGTTACAAAATGGTGGCTGTCATCCAGTTAAAATAATTCTGCACATGTCTGGCAGGATGGCACCACCCTTTAAGGCTGTGCCAAGAGTTTAGGCAGCAGGGACTTTAAGCCAAAGGCCCGGGGCCTGTGGGCTGAGAGGGGCCTTGAGCACTGTAGCTCAGAACTGAGCACCTTGTCACAGAGGCTCCTGCTTTTGAATATTGCCATGTCCTTCCAAGAAGCAGAAAAAGCAAAGAAGGTCCTCTCTACTCAGATAGAATGGTTTGTTCTCCTGTTGAGCTGGACACCACCCTGCAACCCTCCCTCAGTAGGGAAGGTAACTTACTCCCCTCCCCAAATCAGAACTGTTCACAGCTAACCCCACTTTCCCTGCCTGATGAACATGAGCCCCAGTGTAGGGGCTCTGTTTGTTGTGCTTGGATGGCCTGTTTGTTTTTTTTTTAACTGAGACCTGTGTTTCACCACTTCTAGATACTTACTTTCTGCCCCAACATTCCAGGAAATCCTGGGAAACCCTGTGAATAGAGCAACAGATATTTTGATAACACTTGAAAGGGCTGTGGATGAGCTTGGTAAGCCATTTTCAAGATGGAGGCTTGTCTGTCTGTCCACCATTCAGTCCACATATGGGATGAGTAGGGGCCATCACTCCATTGTAGTGTATCATTTCCATGGACTGGCCATTACCTTTTCTCCTTTGGGACCCAAGTCTCCCTTTTCACCTCTGGATCCCTAGGAGTAAGCCACAGGAGAGAGTCAGTGAGTTAATATCATGGTGGAGTTTAGGTGGAGGAAGTGAAGTATTTCAAACTGAAAAGCTTCCTAAGCCAAGACCCTCATTTTACAAATGGCATAGAGATACTGGGTGGCTTTCCCAGGAAAGGAATGCTTTGTGATCTGCCTTCTATTTGGACCCCAAAGATCTCTCGAATTAATAAGGGACAACTCACAGAAAATTCTGGTCCTAGATCTTCCCTTATCCCTGAGGAAATTTGTCTCCAAGCTTCTGTTGGCTTTTGCTTTGTTTTGACAGGTGAGGATGCCGTGTTGTGGAGGCTGTGTATAAGGACACATACCTGCTGCCTTCACCAGCATCCCCATGCAAACTGTGTGCATCCTCTGTCTGCCTAGCCTCACTCATCTGCTCTGTGTGCAGGCATCTGTCTCCACTGTGAGCTCTCCCCTATCCTGAAGGGGCCCCTCTCTTTAGCCCACTGACAAAGGGCAAAGGAATAGCTAGGAATGATTGCTGCAGCCAATTATTGACTAAAGAGAGACCTCAGCCCATCCTCTCTCCATCACTGACTCAAGGGTCTACAGTCCAGACCAGGCTCCAGGATGCCATCAGAGACAAGCACTGACCTTTTCTCCTTTGGATCCGGGGTAGCCCTAAAGGAAAGGAGAAAGTATATTTACGATCAGCATTGTAGGACCTTTGGGTGTGGTCCATGAATGAAAGAAATCCCTGAATGGGATACCAAGGAGTCTCCACATTGCACTGCAAGTTTTAGTGGGGTTGCAGTCGTAAAGATGTCCCCGAGGTTTATGTTTATACCAGGCCTGAAAAGAACATTTCTTTCTTATGCCACAGAGGCCTGAACAAGGTTTCCATTTGCTGTTTTGTCCAGAAGCTTGATCATCACAGCCCAATAGGATAGCAGGAATGGCATCCCTACGCCCCTGCATCCTGGGACAGGATGTCCCTCAAAGGGCTGATAAGGGAAAGCACTGGGATTCCCAATATCTGTGACATTCCTCAGCCTAAGAAAGCAGTCTCACACTCCCCATTTTGTAGACAACAGCTGCTTCAGAGCCTTAGTAGGAAGATCTGGGATTGTCCATCTGGAGCACATACTGACCTTGGAACCCATTGGTCCTCTTGGCCCTGGCAAGCCCATCATACCCAGGTCACCTTTTTCACCCTGCATGAATTAGGAGAAGGAAAAGAAGACCCACAGTGACATTTCTTCGAGAAACTGAACCAGAAGTGTTGTGGGCAAGAAACTGAACTAGGAGAAGCAGGGACACTAGAACTGGATTGTGAATGTGAGGTCCTCCGATTCCCCTTCTCCCCCTCCCAAGGTATTGCAGATTAAATATAAAATGAAAAGGCTGAAGGTGAGCAAATCTCCAAACTAAATACTCACTAAGGTGTTGTAAGTGGTGGTACTTGATCTTTTCGTAGAGAGAGTGTGAGAGGGCTGGGGAGAAACATGAAGACACTGGGGCCTCAGAAGACAAGGTGTCAATACACACACAAAAAAATGTGCCTGCTTTGCTCTTTGCATAGAGAGAGCCTTTCAGACATCTCCATACATGTTCACCCTGTGTTTGCTGCCAAGTACAGTGTCAGCCCCTGGGTATTTTCTAGGGAAAGGGGGACAGGCTTAGGTGTATAAGTGGGTTCTGTGGCCCCTGAGAAAACACTGCAGTTGGAACTTCTAGCATCCTCTATACTTAAAAATTCTATGCCAGTACCAACCAGTAGAAATATAAGGTGAATCACATACTGAATTTTAAGTGTTTTTAGAAGCCACGTTAAAAGTAAAACTAGGGCTGGGGATTTAGCTCAGTGGTTCCGCTGCCTGTCCCACAAGCACAAGGACCTCAGCTCAATCCCCAGTACCAAAAAAAAAAAAAAGGTAAAACTAAGCAAGTGAAATTAATTGCACCAATACATTTTGCTTAATTTACTAATTTAATCAAATTATCATTTTAATAATAATCAATTTTAAATTATTAATGAGATACTTTGTATTCTGTTTTCATAATAAGTACTTGAAATCTGTTGTATATTTTACATTCAAGAAACATCTCAATTTAAGCTAAATTTTCATTCAAAATACTTGATCTGTTATTAGATTTCATAAAATTTATAGTTGGGAAAGAAGAATCACACACTCAAGTTGCTCCAAACATACCTAAAAGTTTTTAAATAACTGAATTGAGTAAAGATTTTTAAATTTAAACTCAGATGAATTAAAATAAAAAATTCAGCTCCTCAGTTGCACTGGTTACATTTCAAGGGCTCAATGGCCATATGTGACCAGTGGCTCCATGTTTCAGGGCTCAGTTCTATACAGTGGAGTTTAAAAATACCCTTGGGACTTTTCCACAGGTGAATGAAAATACAGTTTTTTATACCCATAATACAGCCAGTAAGAGAATCAGAGCAGTTGGTGACATTCACCTGTCTACCCCTGACTTCTGCAGGTAAAATTTCCAGGTCAAACACCAGTGCACTCTGTAGTCTAGACCAGTGCTGAGAAGAACATAAGCAGAGGCATGGATGTGGAGGAAGGAGATTTCATCTCCACTTGATGATCCCTCTAGGTAGGATTTCCATCTTTCTCTCAGGCTAGCCAATATTCACTCCCTCAGCCCTCTACTCTGAGCCCAATCAGTTTAACAGGCAAGCATTTCCTGACACAAATCCCCTTGTGGTCATCAGGAGGAAACCAAAGAATTGTATGCTAATTCTCAGGTCAAAGGAGAAGCAGGGCACTGTGAAAGAGGGCCCTATCTCTCCTTCTACAGGAGCAGAGCCATTACACTGAACAAGGTCAAGTGAAGGAGGGAGTGTCTGCTGACCCATGAACAGTCCCCAAGCTTTATTCTTCCTGCTCTTAAGGAAATGATTCACTGACTGTGTGCCAGAAGAGCTGTCATCTTCTCCTCCCTTGTTCTGATACCACATGAGCCCAAGAGCATACCACACTTACCCTGGGTCCTTCAGGGCCTGGCCAGCCAATAGGCCCAGGCATTCCCGGCACACCTGGGGGACCAGGTCTACCCTTCAAAAACCAAGAGCAAAAGTTAGGACAATTGGGTATGTTTCCTTCCTTTCAAGAATATCTTGGGCCCAGATACGCGTATAAGGCTTCTAAGCATGGTCCACAGGGCCCTCATCCCTACCTTCCAAAGACCGGGGGCCTAGAAAGTTGGTACACTTAGATATGAATTAAATCCTTGATGTCATAAAGTATCACAAAACATGATTATATTCTACTCAATAATTGGGGGATGGTGGGAAAGGGATCCTAAACTTCTTTTTTTTTTCTTTCAATCTTTATCATGTCTGCACACCCATCCAAATGTCTGCTGCATTCCAGTGGGTTCTCCACAAGGATAGGCTGTGGAATGAGATAGGATTGTGTCCTATCAGTAGCAGATGCTATTGGTACTCTCTCAAGATCTTTTACCTGCTTAGAGCACCTATTCCCAGAAAGCTACCATCCTTCCTGTTAACAACCCCTCTCTGTAATCTGCAAGTGTAGATTTTGTGCTTGGGCAACTGGATGCCAGGTAATTTATGTACCTCCTCTTCCTGTAGCCAATAGCCCAGATACAGGCAACTCACGCTCCAGAGCTCCCATAGGGGTCAGGCTTCTGAGTTGGGACTTCACTGGATCCCTTAATAATTAGTTCACTTGCACATGTCTCTGCTTCTAGAGAAACCAACCTAAACCTGGGGCTATGGAAGAGCAAGGCCTCCACGAGAGAGTGGAAGCATGGACTAGAGGTCTCTCTTGACCTCAGCTAGCTAGAGATTTGAAGGGCTCAGCAAAGATCTCAGAGATGCCAAATGCTGGCATATGTGCTGATTTCTTCTTGTGCCTCCCACATCCATGGCAGACATCACTAATCAACACGGCACCAGTTTGGTCTGAGCATGGGAACTTTACTTTCCAGATAGCTGCTGTGCTGTGGCTGGAGTAGACATCTGTACATCACAGGGGTCTGTTTAAGGCTCTTGTTGACAGTGAACCCAATTGTGTAAAACATTTAACCAGGAATATAGTAATTTATATTCAGAGCCATAAGCATCTTTCTCTGCCAGTTTCATTTTTCCTTCAATGACCAAGAATAACAGTACAGTATTCACTAACCCAGTTAGTAAAAAAGGCTGCTGGTTTACTCCATCTTGACACCAGTAAGGGTCTTGATAATGTATGTTGGTTCACTCAGCATCACTGTGACCTTAAGACTCCCATTTATTTCAGATGGACCAAAAAGCAAAATCCATTTGTTTGTGTCTGCTCTGGTACTTTATTCCAGTTTAATCAAATAGATAGTGAGAGTCCTTTTGTGTAACTGGTTGGAGCCTGGAAGGGTTTCTCTGATGGGTGGCAGCATAAGATGTCTGAACCTGGAGGAAGTTTGGCCAGGCTTGCTGTGCCATTAGAAGAAGTTTGAATGCCTGGTGGTGGCAGGCTCCAGTTCCTGACCAAAGAACTGCAAGAAAGGGCAAAGCTGCTACTGTCACTATCAGGATAGCAGCACTGTCACTGTCCACTACTTATTAGTGGCCATTGTAGTGAACTGCTGGTTCTTCACCCCTGAGAGTACACACACACTCACACTCATGTGGCGCACAGTAGCCTGTGTGATGCTGACAGATCAGCATGGACCATACCTTCCTTCCTGGCCGGCCAAGTTCTCCCTGTGGATGGAGAAGACAGGTGAGCAGAGGCTTCTTTGGAGAGAAGTTCTGGAAGCAGAAGACTTCATAGGACTGGTGACTGGGCACAACTGTGTGGCTCAGTCGGCTGGCCAGTCCCTTGGCTGGTCACAGCACTCCTGCCATGCCAGTGGACCAAGTTGAATACACCAGTGGTATCCCACACCCCAGTAACAGCCAGGCATCAGGGGCTCTGTCATTATACTGAGGCAGAATTAGCACATATTTTCAAATATTAACCAGAAAATTCTCAGTGGTACCCTTATAAAACAAGCTGGAGTTACCGAGGAGAGGTGGGCTGAAGAGAGTAGAGGTGCATACCTTTTCTCCCTTTGGTCCTATCTTGCCAGGAAGCCCCGGTGGACCCTGTACAATCAAGACAAGAATTAATGAAAGAATATACCAAACCAAGAGGGGATTGTTGTGGGGGAGGCAGGTGGGAGCTTGGTGCACTGGACCCTCACAGAAGCAGCATTGTTCTGTGTGGATGTGGGGCTCCAGGGACCCCAAAGAGAAGCTTTCTGTCCTGCAGCCTACTCTCTTCCTCTCCCTTCCTCTCTTTCCCGAGCTTTCTCAGCACTGTGTTTCCAGTGGTACCTCAGTTGTAACCCTCACACATCCACTCTCTGTGACTTTAATTTTGTCCCTGGAACCCTTTGGTTGCCTGAAACAACCTGAGTGCTTAATGAGAGCACCAAGAGTCCTGAGGAAATCCCATTTGCTGAAAACATGATGCCTCTCCACCTCTCATATCTTTTCAACTACCCTCACCAAGCTTTCCTGGAGCCCAGATGAGAAGAAAGTGAAATTAAGCAGCCACCGCCTTACAAATTCCCATGGCTAATTTGTGTGTACCAGGTGCCTAATAATTCTCCCCCTTCCCATCTTTTTTTTTTTGGTACCGGGGATCGAACTCTGGACCTTGTGCTTGCGAGGCAGGTGGCGGAACCACTGAGCTAAATCCCCAGCCCTGCCCTTCCCATCTTTAGAAACAAAGTTCTTCTTTTTCAAGACATGAAAAATGTGACTAAACAACAGCATATTTCTGTCCCATTGCCTAGCCACAGGAGTGGGGCGATTCTACCTCAGGGGCTCTACAACCCATTGCAACAATGCTTTGCATACCCACAGTCACAACACATCTGTTTTGGGCTCCCATGTCTGTGAAATGCTCAGCAATCGATTTTGTTTACAAATTCCCCAGGACAACAGGGACAAATTCATCAAATACCCTCAGAACTCCACGGTGTCCCAAGACCCGAAGGTAAATATGCACAATGAGGAGATTACTTGAACTATGACCTCTCTGCAGCTTGTCCAGATGCCCAGGAACCCCTTAGCCAGTGAGACCTATCTGCATTACTACTACAGTCCCTCCGGCCCAATCCACACCCCAATCAGTTAGACAACAATCTAGGGGGGAAATGAGCATCAGGAATTTCTGAAGCTCCCTAGGGGATCATACTGTGCAGATAAGTGTGAGAACCACTGTTTTGGAAAAGGGAGGGAGGAAACATTTTTATTCTATTCTCTTTGTTCTTCTAAGCCGTAATTTTTGTCATTTCTTGAAATGGCTGGAACTTGTTTACAAGATCACTGTGCTCTGGCTCAGTACTTCCCAATCTATAATGTGCAGATGGGGGTGGAGCACATCTCGTCAAATGTTAAAATGAAGATCCATTTGAATGGTCGGGGCAGGGATGGGACTCTGCATTGCTAGCCAGCTCCTATATGTACAAAAGTCCACTGATCTCACTTTGAGAAGGGACAGCATTCACACTGCGCTAGGGGAACTGAAGTGGTTGCATGGACCTCACAGCTGGGCAGCTCACCCCCATGCAGTCAAAGGGGACTGCATGGAGTTAGATGTTTAGTGGGATGGAAGAGCTGCTGTTCTGAGGTCAGCAGAGGGTCCCCCTCGTCCCGAAGCTCTGTGGCTTCTCATGTGCCGAGATCCATTTGAATGGCCTGCTCCAGGTAGGACAGTAAAACCCACCGTAGAGGGCTTCCATCTTGCCTTTCTTCAGACTTCCCAGCTCCTCTGTGGTAGCCTCTGGCCAAATCTAGGTTCAGATTCCTGTTTTCTTTAGTGCATTCAACAAATAGAACAGGCTACAACCCTGTGCACTGGTATAGACTGGGAATACAACTATGAGCAGAGAGACAATGCCTTGTTCCCATGGACCAGGGGTCATTAAGCTTTTGCTGTACAAGGCCTGAGAGTAACTAAATATCTTAGGCTTTGCAGGCCACATTTGGTCTCTATCAGAGCTACTCAACTCTGCCCTTGTAAACCAGAAGCAGTTACGGACAATAAAACTTCAGTTAGGAAAAAAAAAAAAACCCTGAAGTCTCTGGTTTGATCCATGGGCCATACGGCTTACATTTGATGGAGGGGAGACCAAAGAGACCAGGAACAATGACGAAAAGTCAGGAAACCAGAGCAGATTGAGAAAAAATTCAACCAGGTTAGGGTGACTGTGAGCAATGACAGTGTTGGAGAGAGATTACTTTCAATATCCACTTCTAAGGGGGAGACACGAAAATTGAGTTGAGTGACTGAAAGGAGCCACCTATGATAAATATCTGAGGAGAGGACTTCCCAAATAGCAGGAACAGCAAGTACAAAGGCCCTAGGGTTGGAACAAGCTTAGGCTGCGTGAGAACCCAGGAGACTTGCTGGGGCTGCGTTGAGTGAGCAGTGGTGGAGCTGTGCGCTGGAGGAGAGGACACAGGCCAAAGTCACCTCCTGAGAGGCTTCCTATCCCAGGGCAGACTCTGGCTCTTAGTCTTCCAGGGATAGGAAGCCACAGCATGCTTAACTGAGGTAAGGGACAGTGCATAAGCGATGGAACTTGGAGAACTTACTGCTCCGTGTACTCTCTTTCTCCTCCCCAGCGAGGTCAGAGCCCCAGGCTAGGGCTGCCCCTCACTGACAGAGCCCCTCTCTGAGGTAGGCAGAGGAGCCAGGAATGAGATGGGGTTTCTTCATCTAGAAAGTCCTTTCTCTGATGGTTTCTCCCTTTTTCATTCTTTTTAAATTTTGGTACTGGGGATCAAACTTGGAACCTTGCGCTTAAGAGGCAGGTGGAGGAACCACTGAGCTAAATCCCTGCCTGGCCTTCCCTTTTTCATTCTTCCTTTACTTTTGGTGGGGATGGGCGGGCTGCCTGGTAGCAATACTGGAGGCCCAGTGAAGCTCAGGGTAATGAGTTCCTCTTGCTTCCACTTTCCTGCACTGAACGCTGGCACCTCTGGGTCTGCAGGTGGACTAATGGTCACATTAGGTGCATTATTGTCAAGTTTTTTTCTGATGTCAACTATAATTATAGCCACATCCATATAGGCAGAATCTCACTTGATTCCCCCAAGATCTAGTATGACAGAAGTGATTATTATCCCCCTTGCATAGATGAGGAATCACAGCCAGAAGGCCAGAATTCACCCAGAAAACCAGTGCTCCCTCCAGGTGGCTCTGGAGGGGCAGGTAAGCTAGAGAAGGAGAAGGAGCCCCTCATCGGGCTTAAAGGGCAGACACTAAGAGGCTCTGCCCAGGGGGCTCTCCTGCTCTGAACAGAGGCAGCAGGAGGCAGTGCACCTACCTGGGGGCCAGGGGGCCCAGGGGAGCCGAGTGAGCCTTGCAGGCATGGGAACTGTGAGGTCTCGAGTTCCAGGAGGAGATTCTTCATGTCTGGGGAGAGAAGCTTCAGTGCAAAGCAACACAGGGTTATAGGTCAGACTCGGGCACAGAGGCGGGGCTGCCTTCCTGGATATGGCCCTGTTCCGTGTTCAGGTCTGGGACTGGTGACCCCCTGGCACCCCAGTGAGTGTCCTGAGAAGATGGGCTTTGGGACCACCAGTTTCTGCTCTCTTGTTTGCTCTTGAGACACACTTTGCTGGGATGGATTCCCGAGATAGGATGACCACTTTGGATGCAGTTACAAAACTCATTTCAGGGGCCCCTTTACAATGTCTAGGACAGCACTGTGCATAGAAATATGATGAGAACCACATATTGTAGTTTTAGATTTCCTGGTAGCCACATTTTTACCCTTTAAAAAGGTCAAAAGAAAACAAGTTAAATTAATTTTTATAATACATTTTGTCATTGTCATTTCAACACATATTCATTATAAAAATTACTAATGAGATATTTTTCATTCTTTGTTTCACACCAGGTCTTCATACTCCAATGTGTATTTTATACTTACAACACATCTCAATTTGAACTAGCCACATTGAAAGTGCTGGATAGCCACGTATACAGGTCTAAGAGCTTTCAGAAAGATCTGAGAGTTCCAAGTCCCTAGAATGCCCTGGCCTCTTGTCTTCTAGATTCTGAATCCTGTTCCTTTCCTCACCTTTTCTTCTTCCCAAAATGTGTTTCTTCTGATGCTTCAGTGTGGCTATTGGAACCCTATTTCCTATGTCACTTCATGAACATGGTCTACCTAAGACATGGACTATGGGGAAGATTTTTTTCTGTCATCTATACATAAGATTTATTCATATTTAGGGGATATACTATGGTAATGTAATACAAATACACAACATATAATAAATCAGTGTAGTTAGCATTTTCACCTCCTGAAACACTTCTCATCTCTTTTTTGTTTTCAGTACCAGGAATCGAACTCAGGACCTTACGCTTTCCAGTCAGGCAGTGTCACAGAGCTAAATCCCTGGCCCAGACATTTATCATTTGTATGTGTTGGGAAACTTTAGGCTCTTCTTTTCTAGTTATTTGAAAGTATATCATAAATTGTAGAATGTAGTTTCTCTGCTGTGTTACAGAACACTAGAAGTAATTCCTCTAATCTAATTGTACTTTGGTACATGATATCTAACTTTTCTCAATCCTCCCTTCTCCATTTCTACTTTGTCTTCCATTTTTATTTCCCTTTCCCCATCCTTATACCCTTCCCAGGAATTATTTCCTCCTAGGGAATTTTATAAATAACCAGGGGAAAAGACAAGGGAAAGAGGAAGTTCCATATCTGAACAGTTGATGGGAACCCAGAAAGTTATAAAGTTACCTCATTGTTTTAAAATAGATGGGACACTTTGCCAAAATCAATTCCTGGCTGAGAAGACCTGATTCAAGTTAGCACAAGAATGAATGTGACCCAGAAACTGCAAATGTCCATTCTGGGGCTCCACTTCAGAGTGAGAATAAAGGGTAGTAGATTCTCAGCCAAGATTGTGGAGGCAGCTCATGTGGACAGGTGGGGCACAGGGGCAGGCACCAAGAAGCCCAGTGTTCTATGCACTAAGTCCCAAGTACTCACCGGACTTCGGCCTCCTCTGAAGAACGGAGGTGGGAAGAGTGGTGGTGGAGGGGGTGTCAGGAGGCAACATGTCTTCTGGCTGCCACGCTTCTTCTGATCCAGGCCAGGAAGGGCTGGCGGAGAAAACTGCTGCTGATTAGCATGGCGTCGTGCTCACTGTGCCTAGCAGGGACCCACGCAGTCACCCCAGACCTCCAACTCTAACTTCTAACCTGTAGGGATATGAGCAGACCTGTTTGCTACTTGACACAGCCCTTGCCTTGCTTTTGCTGAATTAAGATGGCATGGACACTGTGACCACTTAAGATCCATTTCTCCTTCTTCAAAAACTGTCACTCTGTAGATATGGAAAGCAATGCAAAGCTCAGACAGACTCATAATGTGCCCCCAGTAACTGGAGAGAAGGAAGTGTTAAGGACTCTGATACTGTACTTTGGAGGAAATTGGGTAAACAAGAGGCAGCCAGAGTTGGAGGTAAAGGTTCTCAGGCCCATGATTTGAAACACAGACTCTACATACACATTCAAGTGTCAACCATTTCACCAGACAGTCACAGTTTAATGTCTGAATAAATTTGTGGCCTAATGTGAGCTTGAGGAGATGAATGGAGGATCTTTATAGTTCCTTTCTAAGTTGTAGGAACCAGCCTACAAATTTATTCCCAACCAGAGGGTGAACAAGGATGGAAAACAAAAGACACAAAGATGGGCTGGGGATGTATCTCAGTGGTGCCACACCTCCTGGCAAATGCAAGGTCCTGAGTTTGATTCCCAGTACCAAAAAAAAAAAAATAAGACAAAAAGATAATTTAGAATGAGGGGAGAGGGGGATCTTTGCCTTTAGTGGAGAAAGAGCCCTGAGCATTTGGCTCATCTCTCTTTTATTTACTCAAACATGAGTGCAAGCAATTAGGTTAGGCGAAGATTCATCTGCCTCTTGTTATCTATAGCGTGTACCCAGGTAAACACCCAGATCGCAGCTGTATTGACTTTTCCCTGGAACTTGCAATGTGCTAGCATCCTGCACGTTGCCAAAGGAGGGACAGCTTGCTGTTTTTCTCCTTTGTGCTCACAGAGAAGGTCAATTAGGCCTTGATCCTCATTATCTGGTCTCCTTTACTAACTGGAGTCTCATCTATGTTCAACATGTATTCAGTTTCAAAGCATGTTTTACAAAAAAGTACGTAGATCACAAGTGACATCCCAATATATTTCTGCAAAGTGAACAGACTCTTGAAACCAGCACTCAGATCAAGAGATAGAACACCCAGCACCAGAAGCCCCATAGTGCTCCCTACCTGACCATCTTGAATCTAATACCAGAGGTCATCTTGCCTAATTTCTGATTTTATATAAATGGAATCATACAGTATGAATTATTTTTGGCTCCTCTTGCACAACAGTGTTTGTGGAAGTCACAGAGGCTATTGTGTAAGCTAATACTGCTAAATAGAGTTCGGTTGTGGAGCAAGACTACAGTCTATTCATTCTGCTGAATGCTAATGATACACACCGGGGTGACATCACTGCACACCTACCCAAATGGCTAAAATAAAAAGGACAGAAAAGAGCAAATGTGGCAAGGATGTGAAACACCCAAAATGGGGCAGAAGTTGGTGTAATGTGTTTGATTGGTGTTTTCTATTAAAGCTAAACATAGATGTACACTGTAGCCTAACAACTTCGCTCCTAGGTACTTACCGACAGAAAGGTGGACGTATTTTCACCAAAACCCATGACCTAGCATGCTTGTGTTCATAGCAGCAGTCTCTGTAATTGCCAAAAGTCATCATTTTTTAGTTCCCAGTTTGGGCCTCACGATGGTGCCCTTAACTCTACACCTTCATGGATTCTCCGAGCTTGCAGAACATGTGCAGCTTATCTCCCACATGCCCTGAGCTTTTTTTTTTGGTACTGGGGATCGAATTCAGGACCTTGTGCTTGTGAGGCAGGTGGCAGAACCACTGAGCTAAATCCCTAGCCCGTGAGCTCAGATTTTAGTATTCTCACCAGGAAGCTTTCCTTGACTTCCTAAGCCAAGGGTGAGTGGCCCTGCTATGTTTTTGTTTTTGTTTTGTGGTACTGGGGATTGAACGCAAGGAGGACTGAACTACATCCCTCACCCCCTTTTAAAATGTTATTACGTTGTCCGGGCTGGCCTCACACTTGTGATCCTCCTGCTTCAGTCTCCTGAGTAGCTGGGATTACAAGTGTGTGCCAGTAGGTCCAGTCCTGCTAAATCTTTTTTCTGGGTTTATCGTCATGTTAATTCTTCTCCACGGGGTGAAAATGTTTCCTCAATTTCCTCGAACACATTGTGTGTTCTGGGAGGATAGGAGGTAGTGTTCATTCTCAGGGTCTAACAGTGTACCTGGCACTCCACAGATGTTTGCTGAATTAATAATATTAATGACATACCCTATATGTAAGATACTACTTAAGTGGTTCATGCATAGAAACTTACTCCTCACAGCGACCCTGACAGTTAAGCACCCATCATCATCATCCCCACCACCACCACCACCATTATCAGCTCCATTTTACAGAACAGTTAACTGAGGCAACAAATTAAGCATCTTGTCCAAAGTCAGACAGGTAGTAAGTAAAAGAGCCCAGACTTGAACCCAAGCATCTTGTTCCAGAGATCTTCCTCTTAAACTCTATACTATGTTTACATATGGGTAAAAATGAAGGCCAAGATCTAAGCAGGAGGCAAGCGGCTCCCATAACAATGACTAGAGACTGCTGTAGTAATTTCCTTCAACCAAAGTCCACTGGAAACACAATTACAGTCCAACTAAGCTGGGTTTGTTGACTCACCACAGCCAGAGGAACCGGGAGGCATCTCAGTACGAGAGAGTTAGAAAGGACTGATTCTAGGATTTGAGCTTCTGCTGGGTGATTTGCGGTGAAACGATGAGGAAGCAAAGTCTGGCTTTGGCCTGGACTGGACACTGTCAGGAAGGAAGGGCTGTCCCATGATGGGCGTCTTCATTCTCACCACCAGGAAGAGAAGAAGATGAAGGCTGCGATTGGTCAAAAGCAGTGATCACTTGTATTTGCAAGGATGGGGAGTGGTTGTTGTGGCTGGGTGATAGTCTTGTTTTTAATCTGTTTGGTTGTGGTTTTAGGGTGCACTTATTCTTGTCCTGACCCCTCAAGGCCACAGAGTGGTGCTGACTGAGGCTGGTGTGCTGTGATATTGTGTATGTGCTACAGTGGAACACCATGAAACATCAGGTTGGCTCCAGCTGTCATGGGCTGCTTTTTCTCAGTAGTAAAAGGATAGAGCTACTTTGTTATCAAACTTGACACACGTCAGTTCTTTCCTAGGGTGTTGCGTTGTGAGGAGTGGCAGTGTCAATGGCTCCCCCATATTTCAGGTATGTGGAGAGGGCTAAGAGTAGCACTCCAGGCCCAGGACTCTTTCCTGCTACACTATCTTCACTGTATCTCTTTTGCCTTGATAGAGAAAATTTAAACTACAGGTTAGTTATTAAGGTAGCTGAAGTAGAATAAGTAATCCGTTCCTTTAAGATTTACCTTCCTGTAACTCTTATTGTTTAAGGTGATGGCTAACTGGACCTTTGACCTGTAACCTAGCTGTAGATAACATTTAACCTGGAGAAAAGCAAAGTAGAAATGTTTGGGTAGTTTACAATGTATGTGTTTTAGGCGCCATCTGTTTGTTATATGTCTGTGACTATAACCGTTAACAGGAACTAGTTGTAAAAGAGAAACAGAAATTTTACTGACTAGGACCACCAGAAATGAGGTAATGGCTAAAAGAAGATATAAAAGGAAATGTTAAAACAAAGGACGGGGTGGACATTGATCAGACGAGTTTCCGGTGGTCCCCCTCGCTAGTGAGTAAAGGCTTTGTTTTTTTACCCAACTTCTGTGTCTCCATACATTTCTTTCCGTGATTCTGGAGCATCCTGAGACAGCCAAAGGCCAAGGCTGCAGCTTTCCACAAAACCTCTGCCAGCCAGGAACACCTGGGAGGCTGGCAGGTTCATGTGGCTACTTCCCTCTCATCATCATTTATTTTTCCAGACCATATATGGCCTTGGATGACTTCCTTCACCCAGCACCAGGAACAGTTTCTACTGATGAAACATAACAATTGCTTCTCTTTCTTCCTGGAGACTGGAGACCTCTTCGGTGAATGTGAATTATTGGTTGCTTCTCCTGCTGAGGTGCCTGCATTGTCTACTCTACCCCCATTCCTCCTTAACCTTGACCTACTTCACAGAAACAGGTGAAGGCCATCTACTTCTGCACCCATCCCTCCCTGGAACTGTTTGTTTTTAGCATGGTCTAGTTTATTTACAGCTCATTCCAGTTCAGAATATTTCCATCAGGTGGACGTGTTTGGGAGCAGCTTGCCCGACTCCACCCTCCCTGTCAGCTAAGCCAGGACTTCACATGTCTATTTTGGTGGCATTGAGTAGCCTGTGGGTCTCTCTCAGAACTGTGTTGTCTCTATTGAAACCATGCCTGAGCTCAGGGCCCAGTCTGGAAAGGCCCCAGAAGGCTCTGTTGCAGGGAAAACGTGTGTGTGTGTGTGTGTGTGTGTGTGTGTGTACTCTGGGCCTGCAGAAATCTGGACACAATGTGTAGCTCAGCCCCAGGTAGCTGGAATTAGCAACTACCATGGAATTTCAGGACTGCTTGCCCTCATTAAGGATCGCAAACTCACATTATTGTATGTGGCCACTGCATTGCCAAATTATTCGTAATTGTTGAAAGTGGGCTTTTGGCAAGTGTTTGGATTTTTTTCCCAAAGTCCATACCGGTTTTGCCTTTTTAAACTCAATACTCACTCTTGAAAAGGGGTCTTTCTTCTGTTTCATCCTGAGAAACTGAGACACATCCTTGAAAAATGATTCAAACCAACTTACTTTTGGAAAGAAGAATATAGGGATTCAAATAAAAAGAGTTTGAGTCTGGATGAAAGCAGTCATATAATATATTGCAACTCATTTTCTCAATCTGAGAATCAGTTTCCTCATCTGGATGAGGAATTGGCCCAAGGGATTTGGCCCAATGACCCAAAACATCTTCAGAGTCCTTTTAAAAAATGAATGTGACAGCAGAATCATCACCACGTC